ATATAGAAGTAAAAACCATGGTAACAAGTAATATAACTGAGGATTTCATATGTCTCGACACTGTTCCAAATCCTTTACATATGTGATCTCATTGAATCTTCAGTGCAATCCAGTAACATAGGCAGTATCATCGTCCTTGTTTAAGATGAGGAAGCTGAGGCACAGAGAGAGTTGATGTATTTGGCAAATGGTCATAATAATAGTAGGATATAAATTTCCACCGCAGTTTTATATTGTTAATGAAATGTATTTACATTGTTCAATGAATATTTTAAAAGTCACCAGTCAAAAACAAATTTTGGCCAGGCACAGTAGCTCACACCTGTAATCCTTGTAGCACTTTGGGAGGCTGAGGTGGGAGGATCTCTTGAGGCCCGGAGTTCAAGACCAGCCTGGGCAACATACCAAGACTTCATCTCCACAAAAAATTTTAAAAAATAAGCTGGGTATGGTGGCATGCACCTGTAGTCCCAGCTACTTGGGAGACTAAGTTTGAACCCAGGAATTCAAGGCTGCAGTGAGCTATGATTGCACCACTACACTCTAGCCTGGGCAACACTAAGACCCTGCCTCTAAAATTTAAAAATAAATAAATAATGGCACACATTTACCTATGTAACAAACCTGATCATCCTGCATATGTACCCCTGAACTTAAAATATAAGTTGAAAATAAAAAAAAATTCTTTATTTTAAATTTAATATTATTTCTCCTTAGAATGACCACAGCTTTGATTTTTTTAAAAAATATGATTTTGAGGTTGCTAACATATGTTCAAAATATAATGTTAAGTTTCTTCAGCTGAAATATTTTTTTTCTGAACGTATTTTATTCCTTCAGTCCCAGAAGGAAAATTACACCTCACAGATAACTTACACTTTGTTATATTCTGACCCTTGTAAGTTTTTCATTATTTTTGAAATGATTAAGATATATAATTTACAGAATTGGAAATTATAATTTTTAAAAGTACTGAGAAACTTTAACCCTATTGTAATTATTCTGCAAACCTTTTAAGGATGCTATAGTCGGTACGACTAGATGAAAAACTCTGATAGATTGGGAAATATAGAGGGTCATTTATAAGCCTCAATTTTTTTGTCTTGTGTTTCCCACCCACTCGCTCTCTATGTCCCTCCAGTCTCAGAGCAATTTCCTACCCTGGGTTCGTGGGAATTGGGAAGGGCACTGTTTGATTCATTCTACGGAAATACTAGGGATTTTGAAAAAGGCAAGACAGGCCACTTGTGTCACTTCCTGTCGTCTGATCAAAAGTTTGATGAAGAAAAGAAAGTAACTAAGAGCTGCTGCCAGGCAGCTGCCTGGTGCTGACCCTGGGTTTCCAGTGCTACTCTGGTTCTCAGTGTGGCCAGTCAAGTCCCTCTGACCTCTGGGCTCTTTAGAAGTCCCTGGTGCTGGCTGCGCTGCAGAGGGTTCGCTCAAGAGCCTGGCCTTTTGGAACAAAGACGGCTTGTGGATGCTGGATCAGGCTTTAGATGAAATCCCAACTGGCTCCTGAGTGTTTGGGTCCTATCTGTGCTTAGCTTTCTGGGTCTGTCAATCAGTTTCATTTCCCATCCACAGGATCTTAATAGGCGTGAGAAGCAAGAGGGCTTCTCCCCTCCTCCCACATGAGTCATTCCCCTTCTGGATAGTTATATATACCAATAGGAAATTGACTGTTGGAGAAGAGAAACAGATTCTTGGTGAATAAAATGAAAGAGGTGGACATTTGCTGCATTGGTCCAACAGTGATGTATTTAGCTGTGTGCAAGGTGGGTCTTCTGCTGTGCAGACGGATTGAAAACTGAGGCGTTGGTTTTGAACCCTCAGTGTGGGGCAAGTGAACCTGGGCAGGTGTTCTGGGCAAAGCAGGAGCAGGGGCAAAGGCAAGGCTGGGAAGGGGGTGAGAGTCCACCTGGGTCCTACCTTGATTCTTAGGTGGCGAGTGGAGAGTTGAAGGGGGGAGATTGTGGGCTGGGTCCCCACTGGACAGGGTGGGCTGTATGGCATGGGAGTTAAGAGCCTGGACGGCAGAGTTCAGGTCTCTTCTCTGCCACCTCTACCTGCTATATAACTATGAGCAGTCAATAGACTTCCCTAAAGCCTCGACTTCCTCATCCATAAAATAGGGGCTAGGTATTGGGGCATGTTTAAGTTCTAGAGGGAACTTGGATAGTGAGAATTACTCTGGAGAAGTCCTTAAGGAACCCATGAGGTTGAGTGGCCTTGGTTCTCTGGGCACAGCTTTGCCTACAAGAGATGGAGGCCCATGGGGCCAGTGCAGCATCCATTCTGCTGTGAAGATGGAGACTGGAAAACACCACTGGGCCCCCAATGTGTTCCTCCCTCCTTGTTCCCCACTGGGTTTTATCTCATTCTGCCTCAAGACCCACCCTCTCAGCCCTGTGGCTAGTTCCCAGATTTACTGATGGTTAGGAGGACCCAGAAGACAGTTGGTTGTATCTTCTGGGTGGGGAAGGCTTGGGCTCAGCTTATATGAGGGAAGCGCAAGCGTCATGGAGCCAGGGGGAGAGGGCGAAAAGCCCAGAAAAGGGTTTGTGAAGCACACAGCATAGTGCTTGTCACAAGGCGAGTAGGAAGCAACTGGGAGTTAAAAAACTGGAGTCCCCAAAGCCATACTGGGTAGTCTGGTTTTTTTTAGAGGACAGTGGGACTCTTCGCATGTCAGGTCTGTGTTTTATTGTATTTATTTATGCACTTAAAATTATAATTTTATTTTGGGGTAGATACTATACACCCCTGTTTAAAATGAAAAGGAACTGAAGAATGTAGAGAAGAATTTCCTTCCAACTCATTTTCTGTCTCCAGCAGACAGCCAAGTCATTAGTTTCTTTTGCATTCCCTCATATATATTTTATGTGTGTAGAAGCAATATGTATTCATATGCGATACCCACACACATGCTCACACACACACACACACATCTATGCCTTATCCTCTTTTCAACACAAATCACACTCTGCACATTGTGCCTTCCCCTTCTCACTCACTCCACCTTGGATATCATTCCATAGTGATAGAAAAATAGCTTCTTCATTCTTTTAAATGGGTGTATAGTATTCTATCATGGCATTATAACATTATATACTTGTTTTCAACCTGTCCCCTGCTGATGGACATTTACTTGGTTTCCAACATTAGCTATAACAAACATACTGCAGGGATGTTTTGTGAGCTTGGCTGGGTCAAAGATTATGTGCCTCTGCAGAGGTTATGCCAGTTAACCCACATGCCTGCTCCTGCCCAGCAGTATATGCATCAGTTATATATTTTTAGAAAGTGCCTTTGGAGAGGCTGTTTGGAGGATGGAGTTTGGAGGGCCACGTCTGAGCTGCAGCAGCCCATTAGGGAGTAGCCAGCATGAGCCTGCCATGGGCTATGCTGGAACAGAGAAGGAGTCCAGAGGCAAGCTGGTAATTCGGTAGCTATGAGAGGGAGTCTACCAGACCAGTCGAGTCTGTTTTTAATAGTCTGTCATGTTCATGGTAGATGATAGAGCCAGTGTCCATCCTCTGTGGCTGTAGCAGAGACCGGGGCCCTCCTGCCCCCATGACCTGGCAGAGGAGATGCTGCTGCTGCTGCATGCACCTGGGCCTAGCCCTGTGGCCCTCGCTGGCAGGATGAGGAGAGGAGGATGGACAGGGAGAAACAGAGGGGGAGACAGGAGAGTTGGGACATGTCTAGGCCTACCTGAAGTCAGAGAGACACACCATTCTCCTGGGGGAGGCCAGAGGAGTGTCACAGAATGGTGATGACCAAGAGGCCTCTTAGAACAGTGGGAATAATTCTTCAGCAGTGGTGTCAGGAGTCCCGGTTTCTAGTGCCTTCAATACTAGTTGGCTGTGTGATCTAGAGCACATGATCTAGACCTATGTCTCTGAGTCTCCCTTTCTTCATCTGAAACACAAGGTTACTGGAGATTAAGTAAGCTGACCTAGTGCGCATAGTCAGGGTACCTGCAAAAAAGAAAAGGTTCTCCCTCCTCCTTGCCTTCCCTCTGTCCCCAGCAGTGGGATAGAGAATCAGCAGTCATCAGAATCATGCACAGAGCAGTCTCCTCTGCATTGCCAATGACCATAATCTGATCTCGAATAATGCTTCATGGGCATTCTTATAAACTCAAAATATAATTATTCTTATTTTAATAGGGAGAATGTTTGTATATTCCTGCAGTCTGGAGTTACACCCTTCTTGTTGAAATGACTCCAAATCCCATTAAAAAGGAAACAGTCACTTCACTGGCTAATATTATGTTCCTAACATGATTTATAGTAGTTTCCCTTCATTCACTTTCTGTAACTTGTCTGTCTACCTGCTGTTGTTCAGCTCAGGTGTCCTGTACAGTAGGATGATGCTCATAAGCCTACACACACACACACACACACACACACACACACACACACAGTATTCAGCGATTATGTTGCTGAACCTTGGATGCTCCTGTCACCCCAGAAGGAACAGGAGTGAGCCATAGGGCTGTGAGGAAAAGATGCTGCCCACTCCCTAACCCACCCTGTTCCACCCCCTCTACTCGCTCAGTCCTTCTCTCATTTCTTAGCAAGGGCAAGTAGCTAGGCATTTGCCAAGCCTAGCGCAAAACATTTTTTTCCCCCTGCTAGTACATTTCTTCCTCTGTCAAATGGAATGAAAGTGATAGGATTGGTGCAATAGAAAGGCATGGGTTTTGGAGTCAGACAAGTCTATACCTAAACCCAGCCCTGTTGTATGTTAGCAGTGCAACCCTGGGCAAGCTCTCTGTGTTTTGTGGGCCTCAGTTTCCTCGTCTGCCATGGTGGTTCTGAAGTTTCAGGTCCAAGTGGCTAGCACAGGGCCTGCAGCCAGGAGCTGTGTAGTCACCATTTATTCCACTTTGCTCACTTATACCGCAGTGCTTTGTCTGACATGGGACATTGGGCAACTTTCTGGGGGGCTCACCACCACTTTTCCCTTTCTAACCTTCTCTTCTCTTATCCCAGGGGCCCAGATCATTGATCTGATGATGCTGGTCATTGATGTGACCAAGGGGATGCAGACGCAGTCCGCAGAATGCCTTGTGATCGGCCAGATTGCCTGCCAGAAGCTCGTCGTGGTGCTGAACAAAATAGACCTCTTAGCTGAAGGAAGGAGACAGGCAACAATTGATAAAATGACCAAGAAAATGCAGAAGACCCTAGAGAACACCAAGTAGGTCTGCTAATGAGAGGAATAAGAAGCCTGCATAAGAAGGCTTCTGGGGCTTCCCAGAAGGGAATGTTCATTTCACAAACATGGATTGGACAGGCAGGTGTCAGCCTCCCGTCCTAGTAAGTGTAATCTCAACCTGGCGTTTGCTCACATAAGGGCTGCATTAAATTGTATAAAGGCTAATGTGTTTCTGAAATAGGCCAAAAACCACAGGAGGATAAAAACACTGGAATTTGATGAGGCACAAGCACTTCTGTGTCTCAGCTCACAGGAAGGAGAGGGAACACAGGAAATGTGTGCCCAGTGTGCAAAGCCTGGACCAGGAAGTGTTCACATCCTTTCTAGTTAGATTGTCTTGGTGAAAACTTAGTCCTGCCTACACATATTGGCCATACTTAGCAGCAAGAGAGGCTAGGAACTGTGTTCTCTTGCTATCTACTTCTGTAAAACTTGATTAACAAAAGAGGAAGATGCATTTTGGTGGATGACTGGTTGTTTCTGTTATAGAAGCTTGTCAAATTGGGTGGACAGACAGATGGATGTTAATGCTGGAGGCCAGACTAGGAAAGACCAAATCACAAAGGACCCTTTTAGCATCTCCTGCCAAGGAGTTACAGTTTTGCCTTGTGGAAAGTAGGAAGTTATTAAGGAATTTTATGCAGGGGGTGTCTTAGATGAGTTTTTCATTAGGAGATCACTGGCTGCAGGTAGAAGGCTGGCATGGTGAGGAGGACCCAGGAGGCAGCAGGGAGGAGAACAGGGAGGAGAAGGAGGCATTGGCAGCAGAGGCTACTGAGCTATAGTGGTTTTACCAGGGAGAAAGGTGTTGCTCTGCGTTGAGGCAGAGCATGGAGGGAGGAGGTGGCTTGGGGAGATCTCTAGCAGGAGAATCCACAGGCCTGATCAAGCAATTGTCCCTGATCACAGTAAGCATGGAAGAAAGCTGGCAGTGCTACTGGGAAGGGCAGGGGAGCAGGAGACACAGGGGGACTGTAAGACAGAAAGCCACCTGGTTGCTCAGGCGGCCACAGGAATGACTAATTCTGATGTGGTCAAGAAAATGAGAAAATGTCCTTGTTGAGCACAGTGTTGGCAGACCTCATTGTTTTATCAATTTCTCTCTTCCTTTCTGGGCCAGTCCCTTTTGATCAATACTAAATAGCGGTCACTGGGAGACAGGGATGCTTCCTCTTTGCTATGCATCCTGAGACAATATCCTGCCACTTCCACCTTTCCTTCTTCTGCCCGTGGAGGGCAAGCAAGTAGAGAGTGTTTTGTTTCCCTGTCATAAAGATTGATATGCCTTCCCATTTATGATGTTTTTTTTCAGATCCAACACCTGCAGCTCTCCCTCAGAATTCTCAAGTTGGTTAAATTAAAGCTCCAGCCCTGTGAATGGGCCAAATATGTCATAAAAGATTTCCTAGCGCTGCCTTTTGTTAGCAAAATTCATCAATCTGATAAAATCGACACATTTAGATAAGTGTTGCATAAGAATTCAGACTTTGTTATTCCCAGCGGAAGTGGATATGAGACTGTAAAAAGGAAGATAAAAAATTATATCTTCTTTTTAGTGAGTTATTTGATCTCCCTGTCGTTTTATTTACTTGTCAGAAAAGGAAGAACAGGTCTCTTGGACTCCTGCATAAAAATCCAGTACAATCTTCGTATTATTTACTATAGAAATGGGACCTTCAGGGAAGGGCTTAGGGTACGTTTAAGGGTAAATTGATAGTAACAGTTTTGATTAATTAAATTTAAGAAAAATTCTCATTTGCTTGTGTAAATTACTATTTCTATTTTAGTTTATTGGTTGAAGGTCAAATTGTGTACTTTTTCACACATCCAGAGGAAATTGTCCATCTGAGGGTCCTTGGAAGCCTCTCCTGCCTTCATGTAGTACCAGCAGGCTAGTAGGGAAAGGAGAGGACTGTCACCCTGAGGGCTTGTGATCAGTGGGCCTGTGACCTACTGAACATTAGCTTTGCCTCCATGCGGCAAATTATTATAAGTGACTATTTCCTTTTCTTATGATCCCTTGCTAAGTAAATCCTTCATAAATGCCAGTCCAGATGTAAAGAGATGTTCTGTCTATAAAGGAAAAATGTGGACTGGTGAGCCGTGTACCTATCAAAACCCAAAATATGTGTAAAACATTAAATGTATTTTTTTCTGTCTGAAGAGTAATTGAAAGAAAACTTGGAAAATAGAGAAAAGTAGTTAAAAGAAGAGACCACTCAAAGATTTCTTTTCTCAAATGGCAGCTGCTGGCATTTTTGGATTTTTTTCATTTCTTGTTTTTTGTTTTTTTTTTACTATGCCTAGTATTGCCCCTACTTTTTCTTCCACATATTTTTATTGTGGTAAAATACATATAATGTTTATTATTTTGACCACATGTAATTATACAATTCAGAGCTATCAAATACATTCACAGTGCTGTGTACCCATCCCACTATGTATACCCCAAACTTTTTCATGACCCCCCAACATAAACTCTATATCCATTAAGCAATAACTCCCCTTTCTTCCTTCCCCCCACCCCTGGGAACCTCTATTCTGCTTTTCATCTCTATGAATTTGCCTGTTCTAGGTACCTTATATCAGTGGAATCATATACTATTTGGCCTTTCGTGTCTGGATTATTTCACTTAGCATAATGTTTTTAAGGTCCATCCATATCATAACATACATCAGAATTTCACTCTGTTTTGTGGTTGAGGAGTGTTTTATTACGTGTATATACCACATTTTATTTATCCGTTCTCTTGGTAGCTACTCGGGTGGCTTCCTGGCTATTGTGAATAATGCTGCTGTGAACATGGATGTATCGATATTTATTCAATGTTCTGCTTTTAATTCCTTTCAATATATCCTAGGAGATATGAAGTGATATGTCATCATAATTTTCATTTGCATTTCCCTAGTGACTAATGATATTGAGAATCTTTTCATATGTTTAATGGCCAGTTGTGTATCTTTTTAAAAGGAATATCCAAGTCCTTTGCGCATTTTTAGGTTGGGTTATTTATTGTTGCTGTTGTTGAATTGTAGTCATTCTTTATGTATTCTGGACATTGAGCCCTTGTCAGAGATTTGATTTGTAAATATTTTCTCCTGTTTTGTAGATTGTCTTTTTACTTTGGTGATAGTGTCCTTTGATATACAAAACTTCCTAATTTGGATGAAGTCTAATTTATCTTTTTTTTTTAACTGCCTGTGCTTTTGGAGCCATATCTGTGAAACTGTTGCCAAATCCAATGTCATGAAGATTTTCCTCCAGTTTTTTTTTTAAGAATTTTGTAGCTTTAGCTCTTCAGTTTAGGTCTTAGATCCATTTTGAGTTAATTTTTGTATATGATATAAGTTAAGTGTTCAAATTTATTATTTTGCATGTGGAAGCCAGTTTTCCCAGCACAATTTGTTGAAAAGATTTTTCTTTCCCCTTTTGTCAAAAACCAGTTGACCATATACATGTGGGTTTATTTCTAGGCTTTCTGTTCTATTCCATTGGTCTATATGTCTGTCCTTAGGCTAGTCCCACTCTGCTTTGATGACTGTAGCTTTGTAGTAAGTTTCAAAGTCAGAAAGTATGACTCTTCTATCTTTGTTCTTTTTCAGGATTGTTTTGGCTATTTGGTTTCTTGCAGTTCCACTAGAATTTGAGAATCTCCTTTTCCATTTCTGTGGAAAGGTTGTTGGATTTTTTTAAATGTATTTTATTGCACTTTAGGTTCTGGGGTACTTGTGAAGAACATGCAGGATTGTTGCATAGGTACATACATGGCAATATGGTTTGCTGCCTCCATCCCCATCACCTATATCTGGCATTTCTCCCCATGTTAGCCCTCCCCAACTCCCTACCCCCCACAGTCCCTCCCCTTGTTCCACCCTACAGACCCCAGTGTGTGATGCTCCCTTCCCTGTGTCCATGTGTTCTCATTGTTCAACATCCACCTATGAGTGAGAATATGCGGTGTTTGATTTTCTGTTCTTGTGTCAGTTTGCTGAGAATGATGGTTTCCAGGTTCATCCATGTCCCTACAAAGGACACGAACTCATCATTTTTTGTGGCTGCATAGTATTCCGTGGTGTACATGTGCCACATTTTCCCTGTCCAGCCTATCATTGATGGGCATTTGGGTTGGTTTTAGGTCTTTGCTCTTGTAAACAGTGCTGCAATGAACATACGTGTGCATGTGTCTTTATAAGAGAGTGATTTATAATCCTTTGGATATACACCCAGTAATGGGATTGCTAGGTCAAATGGAATTTCTATTTCTAGTTCCTTGAGGAATTACCACACTGTCTTCCACAATGGTTGAACTAATTTACACTCCCACCAACAGTGTAAAAGTTACTATTTCTCCACATCCTCTCCAGCAGCTCTGTTGTCTCCAGATTTTTTAATGATCACCATTCTAACTAGATTGATATGGTATTCAGTGTGGTTTTGATTTGCATTTCTCTAATGACTACTGATGATGAGCATTTTTCATATGTTTGTTGGCCTCATATATGTCTTCTTTTGAAAAGTGTCTGTTCATATCCTTCACCCACTTTTGAATGGGTTTGTTTGTTTTTTTCTTGTAAATCTGTTTTAGTTCTTTGTGGATTCTGAATATTAGCCCTTTGTCAGATGGGTAAATTGCGAAAATTTTTTCCCATTCTGTTGGTTGCCAGTTCACTCTAATGATTGTTTCTTTTGCTGTACAGAAGCTCTGGAGTTTGATTAGATCCCATTTGTCTACATTGGCTTTTGTTTCCAATGCTTGTGGTGTTTTAGTCATGAAGTCCTTGCCTATGCCTATGTCCTGAGTGGTTTTGCCTAGGTTTTCTTCTAGGGTTTTTATGGTGTTAGGTAATATGTTTAAATCTTTAATCCATCTGTAGTTAATTTTTAGTGTAAGGTGTCAGGAAGGGGTCCAGTTTCTGCTTTCTGCACATGGCTAGCCAGTTTTCCCAACACCATTTATTAAACAGGGAATCCTTTCCCCATT